ATAAATTACTGAACTAATATACGAAGTATACTCATCACAGTAGGTTTTGCACAGCAAATTACAACAAACACAGTCTATATTAGTCATTCATGGGCACATCTGACCCATGGCATTTTCTTATGTTACAAGTTCTTGGAAAAGTTTTTGGCAAAAGGGGCAGTACAAATAACCCTCAGTCCTGGAAATCTATGTAACATTTTATTTTTCCTTTCTGCTTAGTGAATGCTGGAATCCAAATACTAGTTTTTAAATCATGAAAGCTAAGTTTTTTTTGTCAACTAGCTTCAGCCGAATTGCCTGCTACTTCCACTTACTGATAACATATAAATAAATATGTGTATGGTGGCCATAAGGACAAGTTGTGGCAGAACATCCTGTACCCAGGCAGAGAGGATAATCTTGGTGGAGTTGTTGACATCCTGTGTGACCTTCAGTGAATCATTTGACCTCAGTTTCTGCCTGTCTTTCCTCTCCAAAAAATGAGACACATATCAAAAGCCTGATTTGGAGACTAAACTTGAGTAAGAAAAGAAGTTTATATTATAGTAAGAAATACAAATGAATAAGCTTAAGAAACAGGAAACAATTAAATTTGACATTAGGATAATAATTATTCACAAAAGGAATGATAGTGGTTTTGGACATAGAATTTACCTAGAAATTCTAGAGGTTTTTAGTAAATGCAGATTTGACCTAAAATGCGTATTTTAAATAGACTCATTTTTGAAGCCATTCTTTCTTTTTTTTTTTTTTTGAGACAAAGTCTTGCTCTGTCACCCAGGCTGGAATGCAGTGGCACTATCTCAGTTCACTGCAACCTCTGCTACCTGGGTTCAAGCAATTCTCCTATCTCAGCCTCCAGAATAACCGAGATTACAGGTGCATGCCACCATGCCTGGCTAATTTTTGTGTTTTTAGTAGAGACGGGGTGTCAGCATCTTGGCCAAGCTGGTGTTGAACTCCTGATCTTGTGATCCGCCCATCTCAGCCTCCCAAAGTTCTGGATTACAGGCATAAGTTACTGTGCCCGGCCTGAAGCAATTTTTGCTACTCACACAGAATAAAAACAAATAATATTTTTTATTTTTTAATTTAAATTATTCTCAAGAGATATTTGGAGTTGAACACTGTCTTTTTTTCCAGTATTTTTTCATTTATCTCTAAGATACCAATGATAGAGAAATTTATTACTTAAGATTTCCCAAGTAATCACAATATTTCCCAAAACTACTAGATTCATTCACTTGGTAACCTAGCAAATATTTGCTGAGTGTCAACTACATGTTAGGCTCTCTGTTTTAACTACACACTTTCAGCTGCAAGAACCAACTTGTGCTGTATTATAAAGACAGTATTTGCATTGAAGAAATTTCCCATCTAAGTGACAGAATAAATGAGAAAATAAGCAATTTAACTGTAAGACAAGAACAGGAGTTCACACTTGCACCAATGCAGGTGAGATGAGAGTGTGGACCACAATCATCTTTTAAAAGGATGCAAAAGAGGGAACAAATTCACATCAGCTTTAGATACTTGAGCTCTTGTGAGTTGGTGGTCACGGGAGTGGGACCGGGAAAGGAATGGAGAGTTTTATCCTGGATGATCTTCATTAATACAGATTATGAATGAGAATGTTGGGAAATTGAAGAGGCAATCAACTAATTTGGGATATTTTAAATTTGGGATGTATATTAAATACAGAAGTTCACTGAAACACTTGAATACAGGATTCTGGAAGCAGAAGTTTGGTCTTTCCTAGATAAAAAAATTTAATCGAGTATGAACACATGCTGGAAATTTCTATTTTTGTTTTTCGTATTTGGCTATGAATAAATTCTTTAGGAATACAGACAGAGAGGGAGACTCATGAAGAACTATTCTGCTGATAATTCTTTATGTTTCAATAGTCTGTTTTGGTGGGATGAGTAACAAGGTCAAATTCAAATAATTTTTACCTATAGGATAAATGACCATGAGAAAATAATCCTCTCTGGGATTCAGATTTCTCATTGGTGAAATGAACTAACGACTGTCCATTTTCATTTCTAGACCTCATGTTTCTTATTCAGAAAAAAAAAAAAAAACTAAAGCAAAATTTTGCTTAAGCCATTAACTTTCCAGCTGCACTTGGATTTGGGGTTGGGGAGATTGTTTGCATCTTCAGAATCTGCACTTCTAATATGAAGTCAAAGAATAAATCCATATTTTTACTTATAAAGTAAAATCCAATTTTTATATTTGACTATTGACTACAACTGTCTGGCAGTTTCAGGCAGATGAATTTCAGGTATCTGAATTTGGCCTAATTTTTCTTGAGGGTCACAAAGGTACCATAAGTGTATTTTATTCTGTAAGATATAAAGGGCAATTATTCAAACAAAAAAGATCTATAACCAGATCCTGAGCATGCGTATTTCCACAGGGTTTTCTTCAATTTACAGTTGGAGTAAAGCTCTCAATTTACCAGTTAAAGTAATTTACATCAGATATTGGAGCAGTAGTTTCCAGAGGCCCTTGGGTATTTATTTAAAACTCTTATATCCTCTTTTCCCCAACATTTTTCTCCTTACATTTTCTGCGTTAATCTCATTCACTTGTAAAGTAATGAGGAAAAGTGTCACTTCCTCTCCATCGTAATACTTTTTAACAGGCTGATACTACCAATAAAGTTTCTGTTTATTTATACAGTCTTATTAACTCATTTATTCAACCAATATTTTTTGAATACCTACTAAGTGCTAACATGCTGCTGTGCTGGTGCTGAGGATGTAATGATAATAGAGAATGGCGTGGCCCCCTGCCTCTGCCCATGAAATTTCCAGTCCGGCCCTCCCAGTGAGTCTGAAAGTGTAGTTCATTTTGTAATTGATATAGCTGAATGATCAGTAGTCAGGAAAGGGGAGGAAAGCTGCATGTACCATCTGTCCTGAAAACTGCAGGGGAATTTTAGGGAAATCAAAGGTAATCACAGATTATATTTCAAATAGGATTGAACAGAGAACATTAACTTAAGGTCATAACATAACTTGCAGGCATTTATTCACTGTTGTGACATGACTTGATTAAAGCACTTAGAATAACAGACAAAATTAAATCTTAGTTTTTGTAAGATTACGAGTAGAAAAAGCAAATAAGTTATCATGGTATTTCTACATATAGTATTGCTGAGAGTGTTTATTTTATAAGGATGCTCTCATGTAAAAGGTTTCTTAAGAGTAGGGTTCCAATCCAAAATTGGTGTGATATTCTAGATCAATTTAAGCAAACATGAAATTAAATAAATATTAATGAAATGTCAAAAACAACTTTATTTCATATACTCTTTACTTGCTCTTATGAACATGGCTGTACCTTATGAAATATTTTGTTTTCACCCAATTTCTTATGTCAAATACACCATAGGTTTTTGAAAAGGGAGACATCCTCAGCAAACTGACACAAGAACAGAAAATGAAACACCGCATATTCTCACTCATAGGTGGGTGATGAAAGATGAGAACACATGGACACAGAAAGGGGAGTACTAAACACTGGGGTCTATTGGGGGGAAAAGGGGAGGGCCAGTGGGAGGGGGAGGTGGGGAGGGATAGCCTGGGGAGAAATGCCAAATGTGGGTGAAGGGGAGAAGGAAAGAAAAGCACACTGCCATGTGTGTTCCTACGCAACTGTCTTACATGCTCTGCTCATGTACCCCAAAACCTAAAATCCAATAAAAAATTAAAAAAAAAAAAAAAAAAAAAAAAAAGAATGAGGAACAGAAAAAAAAAAAGCTACTTTTTAAATGATCAAAAGATATTTTATCAGGGAATTATCCATCTGCGCTTCATTGTATTAAGCTGAATAAAAATGATTCAAAATCTTGATTTTTCCCCCAAAAAAATTCATCATTCATTTTCTTAATATGAATTTTTAAAAAGACACTAAACTTTCTTGAAAATAAGATGATTAAGTTTGTTAACAATAAACAATTAGCTTAACTGAAGTAGGGTCTTCTGGGTGAGCAAATGACAATGTGTAACTAATCAGTTCTGGGACAGGATAAGGAGAGGGAGCTGGGCCTTAGGGACTGCATGGTTCACATGTATAGTTGAAAGTTCTGAGGAAGCTCACAGATGTGATCTTTATTAATCCCAATATTTTGCTTTATACCTGAATTTAGAATTGGGTCTTAAAATCAAATGAGATGTCATTGCATTACCATCTGTTGTTTCAAAAATAAGAGACACACTCAGATGTTGTCAATGGCCACTTTAAAAAGATGAATGCTTCTCCTGTTCCAAAGCTGTTTTTGAGATATTTACAGAAGGTTTTTCATTTTAATAGAAATAAAAATTATGAATGTAGGTGGAAATATTCCCAGTAGCCTTGTATCAACTACTCAGAATAAATAAATGGCAAGATATGTTTTACTTCCTAGTGCTCTTCCTCACTCACTCACCACCCCATTGTGATGCTCACAAGGATTTGAGTTTTTAGATGGTGGAAGGACAATAGTTTCCCATGCTCAGGCCCAGCCTACAAGTCAACATCATGGCAGAGAGTGGGATCCATTTTGTTCCCAGAGGCAGCCCGTTTATAGGCATTAGTGGTGACATATCTGGCACGGAGATGGGTTGAGAGATTCTACATCATACATGCATGATGTGGTTGCTAGAATGTCTAGAAAAATTATACTGTCTCATTTTCTAGATCTGTCAATCTACCATCAAGCCAAAACATGGAGAGATAGAGGCAAGGATGTTTTCTACCTTGTTTTGATTTTCTTTAACATATACCAAATAATTTTATAGCAATCATTTTATTTTGTCTTCTGAATTGTGCTGTAATTATTTCTGAGCTGTTTATCAAGTTGTGCAAATGTGTGCATGTAGATATTTTTTATTTATGGCTACCTAAAATTCATGGATGTATATACATACCATATATAATCTTGGTATTACATATATGTGTATGTATATGTGTGCATATACAAATGCATACAAGTGATTCAATACCATAAGAGCAATAATCTCAAAAACAGATTTCCAAAGTGTGACTCGTCATGCTTTATTCATATGTCATCCTAACTCAAATTCGAATTCAGGTTTCTAAAACTGGAAGGCTCAGTACAGAAACTCAGGAAATCATGTGCAGGGGTGGGGGTGAAATGTTCTATTCATTCTGACCTGAGGGTTGGTTGCACCTGTCAGAAGACCTCAATTTTAACAGAGCTAACATCCATGACAAGTACATATAAGACTGCATGTCCCTGAATCACACCATTAAATTCCACAGGAGAGAGCCCTTGAAAGGTCTTCTGCTTTAATGGAGGAAATTTCTGCCAATCACAGAAATTTTAAGGAATAACCGTTTTCTCTTGGTTCCACCTTCTCTATCTTCTTTTACCTACCTGTCATGCCTGGATAGGCTATTCTGTGTTTGAATGTCTAAACAAAGCATAGAGGAAAACATTTAAAGAAATAAAAAGGAGGGTAACCATTCCAGCAATTTTTCATCAGAACTTTAATGGTATATCTGTGAAAAGTAATAAATGGGCTATAGTTCATTAGGCAAGAATAAATTTCCGTCCATCATTTTATCTTTGTTTAATTGAATATTTAATTAGTATAAATATAAAACTAATTTTTGAATGTGTGCAGTACATTTAGCAAGAAGGCTGGGTGCTGAGCTCTGTCAAGAAGCACTTGTGCAGATGTGTATGGCCACCTTGCCCTTCGTGTCCTCCTCAGTGTGCTGATAGAAGTGAGTGGGTCATTTGGCATTAGCAAAGGAGTAAGTTCACATTTGCACTGAGCTGGATCTTGCCAGACTGTGCGTATTGGAACCCGCAGACAGAGGCTGCTTTCACATTGATGAATGGGTTTTTTCAAGCGTTCTGCTCCCTAGTTATGAGAAGGGTGACCCGGTCAGGAGACGACTTTATGAAGCTATAAAAAATGTATGTCACTTCGGACTCTCTAATGTCACAGGGAAGGGGGAAAAAAAACAGTGCAAAAATGGCAGGGTAATAAGGCTGTTTTCAATGCTCGAAATAGCTTTCTGTCTACAGGCATCTGTAGCCCTGAAACCTGGGCCATAGAGGGTGTCCTGGATGCATTGTTGTTGAGTGGATTAGAAAAAAAATGTGTGTGTGTGTGTGTGTGTGTGTATTTGGCTTTGTTTGGCTTTGCTTTCCTTCACAGAAATGCTTATGGTGATGACAATAAGACATTTCAAAATGCAGGTCTGGTAGCTCTGTGTCAGAACTAGGAAAGGTGTAATGTCTTTTTAAAAGCAAGCAATCTACTCAAGGTGGTGATGACTTTTAAGTATGCAGAGAAGCCAGAAAGGGGGGCACTACAAAACAAACACATTTTGAAAGGGGTATTTTCATCTAATATTTTATAAAGTCTTTCTATCACGAAGATTTTTTTTTCTTAAAGGGAGGTTTTCCAGGTACACTTGCCCCTTATACCTTCCATTGAATACTCTGGGGTTTATAGATAGGGACATGTCAATTTAACAAAGGCAGCCCTCTGTAGACCCATAATTTAGCATTCATTGAATTCTTTCCTTCCTCTCATCTATATGCATATTTCCCAGTATCAGGTGCTTTCCTTTTTGATATGTCACGCATTTCATAACTCATGTTCAAATGTTAATTTACACAAGATAGGGAACACAGAGGACCAAGGTCAGAGGTTTTGCCTTTATTAAGGCCTCAGTTAGTCACAGGTGAACTTTGGAATGTCTTGACTGGATTCAAACGACTGGTTCAATCTTCCAATGGTGCCGCATCCTCTTCCAATTCCAAGTATACTTTGGTATTCCTTTTCTGGGACTTGTAAACTTCCTCCATTAACACACCTGGAAAGAGGAAAAATATGTAGAAGGATACGAGCTCAATATCCCTGTTAGAGCAAACGTGAGGCTTATAGATATTTCCGAAGAGAGAGGGAGATAACTAAATTTTTCACCCGTAGACACTAATATGACATTTATTTCCCTTTTTCTCATGAAGACGTATGCCTATCAGGTAGCCTTCTGGCCCCATTCTGAACACAGTTGGCCACGGAAGCTGATTTTCCTTGCACTGGTTTCTGTGCTTTCTAACATGCAATCTCTCCATCCTGGTCCAAACTGGTCCAAAGCCCGTGAAATACCTGCTCCAAGAATAGTCCCAAAAGTGTGAAACTACATTGTGCAGCAACAAAACCGCTCAACGAAGTCCGCTCTCTTGAAGAAACAGGAGTATTAGCCATATACCAGGAGCTGGCTGTCCACATAAGCACGCAGAGAGAAATTTCCCAGACAGGAAAATACTGAATCTTAGGGAGGCAGAGGCTACTGAGATTGTCACCCTGCACCAAAAAAATTATGGCATCAGAGCACATTCCAGGACTCCCCGGGACCTCACTAATTAACTGCCCATTCTGACCTCCCTGGGACTTATAAAACTTCATCACCTGTAAAGTCCTGAGCTGTTTTCTCTTTGCAGCCCGAGTGAGCTGGCCTAATACAAGAGCATATGTTCATATTTCAGAAAGATGCCTCATCCTACTAAAGAGTATTTTTTAACTTTACATTAAAATCAACCCAGAAATAAAAGGGGAATAAACAGATACTTGTCTTTAAAGCATTTTATAGAAGAGGGTAAATATGTACTCAATGGAGGCTTAAGATGCAAGTTAAGATGGGAGACCCATGAGGTAAAACAAAATAGAAGCAGATTCATTAAAATTGCAGTGGACACTGAATATAAGAGGGATATCCCTTGGCATTTTTAGTCCCTGATCTTGTCGGCCAAACATATTCTCATGGTTTAATATCATACGAAGGGTGGGTGAGCAAGGAGCATCATCTGCCCAAGGAACAGGCAAGAAGGGGATGCGTTTTCTGTAAAGAATCTTAAAGCAATTGAAAAACTGACTAAAGTAGATCTTTTTATTAACACTGCTTTCCCCTCCCTACCCCAACCCTCAGAACTCTATTGCTATTTTGCACAGTGAAGAATGTGAGTCTTCACAGTATAAAACAGAGAAGTTCTTAAGTAGAAAACTTGTTACTTTTCAGCCTCAAGAAATCAGAAGGTCTAGCTTTGTCACAGCAAATGCTCCCAAGAGAACTCTGAAGACAGATATTTAGTGTGAGGTATCATTTTTCCTGAGTACCCAAGCTCTCCAAGTCTTTTAGTCCAATAGCATAAAACAGATATTTTCTCAAGAAAAATTCCACATCACTTAAGAATTTATTAACAATTTACATAATTGCTTAAGTAATCTGCATAATTGACAGAAAGTTTAATTTGACCCTAGTTCAACTGTAACACTTATGGTTTTAAACTGAAATTGGTATAATTCATTTATGAGAGTAATTAGGCCATGGTGTCTAACAAATACATCACATGCTGCCTGAGGCCCCCAAGACCAGAACATGCTATTAGAATGTTTTATTTAAATATGTCAAATCTGTTCATTTCCTCAGTCACCCATGTTAAACTAGAGCAAATGGCTTATTTGACCTTGAGCTTCATGCTTTTGAGAAAAGGGTATTTGAGGCACACAATTCACCTATTTTTCTAGTCGATTTCAAAAGCCAAAGTGTCTAAAGAAAGGCTAAGATTTGCTTATTTTTCACTTCTGGAAAGTATTCACATTGTATGATAATCACGAAAGTTCTTAAACATAATTTTTTTGTAATAGCAAGCCAAATAAAACCCCTCAAATAATGAATTGTTAGGTTATAACAAGATGACTAATATTCACAAACATGAGAGAAGTGGTGAATTTGTCTACCTTTCCTGAAATCCATACTTCCTATATTGAAATGCTTAATTAATTTAACTAATTGAAGGGTAGTCATCTCAGACAGACAATAATAGTACTGCAAAGAGCCACTGGATTTCTCTACGGAATGGCAGAGATTAATTTGACCAAGAGTTGGTGGTACATAACATCTCTTCACTTGGAAAACATCAGATCTTGACTTAACTTTGTTGCTGCCACTGGTGCAGTGTTAGGGACCTGAAGAATACGGATGAGGGCCAGCCTTCAGTGGTGTGGTTAGATAGACAAAATTGCTCTTGGGAACACTCAAGGGGTATCCTTTTGAAACACGCCCATGAGTATTCCAAAGAAAATCCTATAATGCAGCATCATGCCGGCTACCAGATTCCAACTCTCCAGGCATCTTCAGTCTCTATTCCATTCTGTCCTTTGGACTTTTTTTTTTAATGTTCCTTTTTACTCAGTGATCCTTCAGTCTCTTGCTCAAGTTTTTGATTGCCCTCAATTCTCGTTTTCTTTTAGATTATTCACTTCCTTCTGAATCTAGATTCTCTACCCTGCCCTTAAGTTCCACCAGTTAGGTGACAGTTATGGTTATCATTCAATAAGCATTTCTCCATGCCAAATGCCACATGAGGTATTTGGCATAATTTATCTTGTTTAGTCATCAGTGCAGTTCTGCAAGGTATGTTTATTGTGAAGATGAGAAAATAGAGACTTTAGAGGAGTTAAATGACATGCCCAAAGTGTATAAACATATCCTGAGTTGCACCATGATGTTGCAACCATATACAGAGTTGGAGAGTTCTACTCTGTTACATAACATCTGTGATTATGACATCATATCTATTTTATTGTAAAATAAAATAGGCCAGGTATGGCGGCTCATGCCTGTAATTCCAGCACTTTAGGAGACAAAGGCAGGCGGATCACCTGAGGTCAGGAGTTGGAGACCAGCCTGACCAAGGTGGAGAAACCCCATCTCTATGAAGAATACAAAAACTTAGGTGTTGTGGCACATGCCTGTAATCCAAGCTACTCGGGAGTCTGAGGAAGGAGATCAGCTTAAACTCAGGAGGCAGAGGATGCAGTGAGCCAAGATGGTACCATTGTACTCCAGCCTGGGCAACAAAAGCAAAACTCTGTCTCAATAAATAAATAAACAAACAAATAAATAAATGTAATAATTGCTATTATAGTAATTTAAACAAATACAAATAGGGAAAACCACACAAAATAAACTTATAGCTTAATAAATGGTCATAAGTTGAACAGCCTTCTATTTATCATCTTCGTCAAGAAATGAACATTGGTCAGCGACACGAGAAATCCCTTCTGTGTATTAATCCCAAACACAGTCTCTCTCCCACACCACCACATCATCATACCACCTTCTGACTTATAAGGATCACTTCTTTGCATTTCTTTATAGTTTTTTTTTTTTTTTTTTGAGACGGAGTTTCGCTCTTGTTACCCAGGCTGGAGTGCAATGGTGCAATTATCTTTATATATTATAATTTCTTTTAAATTTTTATATCTTTTAAATTTCTTTTCGTCTATACATGTTGCAGGTGGCATATTCACAGTATGGCATTTCAGGCTCCCATGTCCTCTGAATTTTGAAAAGTGTCAGGTGGACCCACAGACGTGATGAGAGTCAGAATTGACTCCCTTGGCAAGAGCAAAAGTGGTACTCTGCTCTTTTGACAAAAGGCTTCTAGTCTCTACTTGTCTTTTTATGATGTTACCAATCATTGATGATCAATGTCTAGATTTATTTATTCACTGGAGATTTACAATATGAGAGCTATTCTAATTCTTTCATTATTTTTTATGTGTTATCTAAAATATTCTTTATAAAGATATATTTTTTCCTTTGGCCATGTAATAGAACCATTCATGTAATAAAGCAGGATAAATGCTTCTTTCTCATCACTTTTTATAAAATGAGTATGTTCTTATCATCCTTTTGAAGCAACTAATTACTTTGTTTTTAATTTCCCTATGAACTAATGGATTTAAAACTATTTGATAGTTTTCAATCCATTGTATTTATTATCTTTGCTGATGCTCACATTTTTGCTTCTTTGGCAGTGTGAGTTTTTAAAAATTGACTCTGCAGTCCCTTTGACCCAATCTTGGTAATATTTAGTGAACTTTAATAATTTTCATACTATTTGGTAAGGCCAAATGTTTGAGGCTCACATTATATATTTCTTGCCCCAAATCTGGAATTGCCCTTTTCTCCTTTAGTGAGTGTCATGAATTTGTTTCCACCCACAATTCATGTGAAGTCCTAATCTCGATGTGGGTGTATTTAGAGAGAGGACCTATTGGGAGGTCATTAAGACTAAATTAGGTCATAAAAGTGGAATCCTGATACAACAAAATTAGAGTCCTTGCAAGCAGAGGAAGAGACACCAGAGCTCTTTCTGTTTCTGAAAGACCACGTAAGGATGCAGCGAAAAGATGGCCATCCACAAGCCAGGAATGGAGACCTCGCCAGAATGAGTCTGTTGACACCTTGATCTGAGACTTCCAGCCCCCAGAACCATGATAAAAGTATATTTCTGTTGTTTAAGGCACTCAGTTTGTGGGATTTTATGGCAGCCCTAACAGACAATCACAGTGGGAAAAAACATTTCAACATATGATCTGTGTATTCAAGATAATTACTACTCCTGGGATGGTCACTGTTTCAAACCCTGTTCAGTGGACAGAGCTAGGCAAGCTGGATAGATATGTAGGTAGGTAGGTAGAGAAATACATCAATTCATATTAATAATTCCAATTAAAATTGGGCACTACAAGATTTTACTTAACTGATCTTTGCTATTATATCACGCCACCTTTCTTACAAAACAAAAATTCTGGCTCCTAAGGATATAAGAAATGACAGAAATGTGCTGAGTACGGTAATTCACATCTGTAATCCCAGCACTTTTTGAGTCAATGTGGGCAGTTTGCTTGAGCCCAGAAGTTCAAGACCAGCATGGGCAAGATGGCAAAACCTCGTTTATACAAAACACACACACACACACACACACACACACACACACACACACACAGCCCGGAGTAGTG